GATAAAATTTTATGAAAATAATAAAAACATAGCTCCAATCGAGCCAGATTGCGTTGATAGAATACAGCCATTTGTGATCACAATAAATATGCAATTATCTAAAATGCAATCATTAAAGTGAATCTAAAAGAAAATGGACCCTCATTACAGTGAGTATGGGCAAAGGTAGTGTGCGTCGGGTATTTAGTGGTAAAGTGATACAATTGTGCATAGGTTTTCTAAATTTGTTCAAATCTTGGAATGACTTATATGAAGAAAGTGGATTCTTTGCAGAATATAAATTATTATTTAAGGGCATGATATCTGACAATAAAACACATATGGCAGTAAGGATTTGTGCATTAATACAGTTTACATGTATTTCTGATCTAACCATCCATATGCCTATCATGGCAGAAATTGAGATTAGTTGAAGTACATTATATCTGTCCAGTGATCACTTTCCACTATTGCTCCTTAGTTCTGTTCTTGACCGTAGAGGAATCTGCAGTGGCCCTTTGCTGTAGACCATTTTGCATTATATGATCCCTTGATGCACACCAGTGTTGCAGTTAGTGACTGTTTGAGCATTTGCGACCTTTCTTCCAGCTTGAGCAAGTCTGGTCATTCTCTAACATTGTGTGACATAAATCGGCTCATTAGAACAGTGGTAACATCGCTGTCTTAGAACTGGGAAACCGGTGGAATATGTCGGCACTAAATAAGTGCTAATAATAACCCCTTATAGTCACATGACGGAAATGTTCCGGCATGCAGGCCTTTTACTTCTAAAGCTGTGTCCTTAAGGGGGTAATCATACTAATGACTCCCAACAAGGGTTACGTATGTCTAGCAGACACTGGCCAAAGCTCTCTGTGTACGACACACTTTTTCCATCATCCCAGTGAAGATGGTAATTTAAAAGCTTGTAATTTCCTATCCCAGTTAAAAAGAATATTGGTACATGCCTGAGACTATTTCTTGGTGAAATTGTGAAGCTGCAGTATATCTGGTTTTCCAATAAGAAAATGATTAAAATGCTGTGGAACCTTTAGAATCTCTGCAGTCCTCTCAAACCAGCTTCTCTGTATTTATGTAGGAATTGTTTTTAACGTTTCTCCTTTTTATGACACCGGGGCACCTTGTATCACAGGCTTCTGCCTTTGTATGTATTTTTGAGCTAGATCGAAAAGGAAAATATGGCAAAAGATCAGTTTCCGAAAAATGGCTGACTGCAAGAAATGAAAAAGTCCCTTGTTTCGCAATCTCCAGGGGGACGTATGTATTTTTCATGTTTCCTTTATACTTTTTAAAACCACGATTGGAGGAAGCAGTAACTTTGGGAGTAGGTTTGCAGCGTATCTTTTAAATACAATTTTATGCTATAATTTCGAATACCTCCACTGGTGAAGCAATGCATCTTTGAATTTTACTGTTCTGCTACAAATGGTCTCACAACATTCCTGAAGATGAACCATTTCTATGAACACATTTAGCTATCCACGCGTAGAAGGAAATATGTATGTGTGTATGTGTTATAAATACATGTATAACAGCTGGAGTGCTAAAACCTTTCCATCAGCGGTCTGATGGGATATTGTAGACATCACAAACTATGAGACTGATTTTAGGTCTTGTGGTTCATGGATGCCAAGAGATGGCATTATTTTCCGCTAATATATATCTTTAATATTACATGCCTTTTCAATTCCAGTTAGCGCGCAGCTCAGAGTTACTTTAATCTAATGGCATCACGAAGATATTCTTTTCCCAGCTTGCTTGAAATTGATGGGAGCTTCACTCTCCAAGAGCAACTGTTGTTTGCTACAGCTGTGCCGAATTCAACCATTTCCTGTTACTGATTTGCTGGGGGAGTAGCTGGACGTGGAAATCGTAGGAAATCACAGCTCCTCTCCTGAGATATCAGTAACAGTAAAGGGGTTAAATTAATGGCATCAGCTACTGACAGATGTGTAAACCCACTATTTTCTCAGCCAGTTCATTAAATGCAAGTCCTGGTGATGCACTTAGGTTAGATCCCTCCTGCATTGCACAAACCTAATTATTGTCGGTCTTTTACTGAAAAATAAAATGGTTTTTATGGGGGCTGAGGGGGAGGGTTGTGTGTGACTGTGAATGTGTGAAAATTTCATTTTTTTAAACTGATACTTAAATAAAAATTTCAGAAAAATAAAAATCCATTTATTCGATGACCTTGCTTACTGCCCAACATGAACAAGGAAGTTAAATTTTTAGCAAAATGTAGGACGGATCACCTTAGCTGCAGATCATGCAGAAATGTGTGGAATCTAGGCAAGTAAGCAAATAATTCTGGAAAACAAAAAAATATATATCTATAGTTTACTGTCTTAGTCAAGTGCTATAAAAAAAAAACCAAAAAACAAAACCTTTTTAATCCATATCTTCCCTTCAATAGTAGCAGGGGTGGGGGATGTAGGCTAGACTCGCAATTTAAATAGCTTGTTATGTTTGAGGTTATACATAGAATGTTGAAGTCTAGTTATTTAGAGTGTTGATGGGTAAAAAAACCGATCTGCAATAGTGTCTGTGCAGTTATTTAGAGGAAGCACATATATGTATATGTATGTATTTATAAACTAGTGGAAAAAGTCATTTGGTTGCATTCACCGGTATATTCCATAAGTAATTAAAAAAAATTGTGCGTTTGCTTTATCAAAGGGCGTGGGAATAATTTTGATTCTTTACACTCCAGGTTAATATAAAGAGTAAAAAACTGGTTTACGTCAGATTGAAAATTCAAGAACCATCTTGTTCTGCTGTTGACTGCTGAAAGACATTGGCAGCAAAATGACTTGGATTCTGAGCAGTTTGAATACACAGACTTAGCTCTGTGGTTAAACTGTATAAAACGAACTCTTCAGCAATGCTTTGTGTTTCGGAATCTATTCCTCCTTTACTTAAGTGGTTACACGAACAGCTTTGTCTAGAAATTGCTGCATCATCTGAAAAGGGATTTTTTTTTCATAGGTTTCTTATGTAATCACTGCTGTCTTTTTTTTTTTAAATATATATACATATATATTGCGATTTTTACAAAGGCAAGTTCATAGTAACATTTTTTGCCTGCAGAAAACTCCAAAGGAATCTGCAGGCTTTGACATAGCCCAAACTGTCCCCTTTTGTCTGTGCACCAGAATGGCATGTTGTCATAAGCCATTAGCTTCAACGCCATCAAGAACTGTTTGACAGCAAATGCTCGACATGTGCTCCTGAAGTCTGCTAATGAAAGACTAGAATGAACAGTTTGTCTTTCTTTGTATGACTGCAGTTAATAGACCATTAATATATTCATCTGCTGTTTAGGGGACGCTTTTAGGTCGTGTTCTGAAAACACACGTGCAATCTTGTCTTCCTTTTGTTGACATTACTATTCCACAGATCTTCTTAATGGAAGTCACCCCTCTCCTCTTTTTTTAAGCACACCATCTCCACTGTCGGATACTGCATTATTCCATCTTAGAAGTTTCACGCATTTGTAAATATGCTGTCACTATCTGTAATAATCAGAAATAATGCATCTTTGTCTCTCTAGAAAACTCTACAGGTTTGCATCTTTGAGTGTTATTTGCGAAATTGTAAATAGCTGAGAATTCACTATGAATTTACAATATATTGTATCCCAATTTCCAAAGGGGAAAAAAATCTTTTTGGCAAAAAAAAAAAATTGCAATTCTATATTGTATTATTGACAATTCAAACTAATCGAATAACCAGGCTTTTCACCAAAGTACAAACTGCCAGAAATATTGATTCAAAATGGATTTCAGATTTTAGGCCAAAAATGACTAACATGAAATTTTTTTCACATTTTTATTTTATCTTTATCTTTTACTATCCAAGGATTCACTGTATGATAACTAATCCCTTGTCTGCCTTATCTAAAAGCACAGGATGTGTCAGGATATGAGAGGACCCTCGGTAAGATATAAATCAAAATTTATCAAAGGCACAGTGGGAATGCATAGTGAGACACATACACCCAGCCACGCTACGGCCCAGTAATAACACTTAGGGTAGACATCCGAAGTATCAGAACCAAGTTAAACCTGGAGAAGGAATACAGGAAAAGTCGAAGATAACGTCTAATTCAGGGCAAAACTAATTTCAAGGCCAGGATTGTAGCCGGGTCTGGTACACTGGAATCAGGATTAAGACAAACTTGTGGCCAGATCAAAATAAAATAAACGTATCTTTCTGTGTGTGTGTGTGTGTCTGTGTGTGTCTGTGTGTATCTGTGTGTCAGCGTGTGTGTATCTCTGTATGTGTTAAGGTGTTTATCTGTGTGTATGTATCTATCTGACACACATATATATACACACACACACACACACACACACACACATTGACACACAGATACACACACCCAGATACACTGTGCACACATTGGCACAGACATATGCTCAGATACACACATTGACACATACACACAGTGTCATATACATACACTGACACACACTCAGATTTACACACACACACACACACACGCACATACAAACACACTGATATACACTGGCACATACAATTTTATTTTTTGTATGTGCAATTGTGTGTATCTGACACACAGATACACACACTGACACACTGATACACATACCTTGACACACCGTTTGTATCTGTATTCGTGTATGCATCTGTGTGTCAAGGTGTATGTGCCAGTGTGTGTATCTGTGTGTCAGTATGTATGATTCTGACACACAGATACACACACACACACACACACACACACACCTTGACACACCGTGGGTATCTTTGTGTGTGTTTATGTATCTGTGTGTCACGGTGTGCATCTGTTTGTATGTGCCAGTGTGTGTCAAGGTGTGTGTATCTCTGTATGTGCCAGTGTGTGTATCTGTGTGTGTGTATATGTATGTGTCTGACACACATATACACACATACACACACTCAGATACAGGGCCGCCATCAGGGGGTGACAATCCTCTGCATGCCCGGGCCCCCAGCACTTGAATCTGTATATATATGACAATCCTCTGCATGCCCGGGCCCCCAGCACTTCAATCTGTGTGTGTGTGTGTGTATATGTGTGTATGTATATGTGTGTGTGTATATATATATATATATATATATATATATATATATATATATATATATATATATATATATATACACTTTGAAGTGCTGGGGCCCGGGCATGCAGAGGATTGTCACCCCCTGATGGCGGCCCTGTATCTGAGTGTGTGTGTGTCAGTGTGTATATGTGTGTCAGACAATATATATCTCTATCGAGTACCGCTATGTATATATGCCTCTGCGCGCCCTGCTGGCTTCCAAGCAGGGCCCAGGATATACTTACCGTCCCCTCCAGTACTCTCGCGAGCCACAGCAGTAAAGCGTTGCCCCGGGTTGTCATGACAACTCTCCGCGGAACGCAATGCATGCTGGGCTCGTGTCAGAAATAGAGCACTGGCTGGCAGGAGGGAGAACATGGAGGGAGTCTGCTGGCCCAACAAGCGGAGCCACCGGACCACCAGGGATTCCAGTGTCCCCCCTCCCTGCCTCTTACCTGTAGCCTCCCTGGCTACAGGTAAGAGGCAGGGAGGGGGGAATACATCTTTTTATTTTTTATTTTTTATTATAAAAATTCAACATAAAAAAATACCTCCCAGCAGCATTTGTCACAACTCCACCACAAACATACATCAAACAGACAAAATGCATCCACTACACAACCGCACACATCATCCACTACACAACCGCACCATAAACCACATAAACACACAAACTACATACACTACACACATCATCCACTACACACACAGCATCCACTACACAAACACACACTCTGCATTCACTATACACACACTACATCCACTACACATACTCTGCAGTCACTATATACACACTACTTCCACTACACAAACACACACTGCATTTACTATACACACAAACACTATATCCACTACACAAACACTCTGCATTTACTATACACACACTACATCCACTACACATACACACACACACTGCATTAACTACACACACTACATCCACTACTCAAACACGCAATCTGCATTCACTATTCACATACTACATCCAGAACACAAACACACACTGCATTCACTATACACAAAATACATCCACTATATACACACACTCTGTCCACTACACAAACATACAATCTGAATCCACTATAAACAGCGTATCCACTTTACTCACGTACTTTGTATCCACTACACACATTCTATAGCCACTATACACACACACAAACAAATTCAGTACACACACACTTCATCCTTGTGGGTGGACTTAAGATGGGCCCTGTGGGTGGATTTGGGGTCGGGTCATGTGGGCAGACTTGGGGCAGGTCATGTGGACTGACTTGGGGGGCGGGCCCCGATGGTGAGCTGTGTCAGAGGCCCCAAAATTTCTGGTGGCAGCCCTGCTCAGATACACACAGTGACATATACTCAGATACACACATTGACACACATACTGACTCACACTCAGGCACACATACTCTTTGACACACACATACAAACGTATATACACTCTCACTGACAGACACACATACACTCTCACTGACAGACACACAAACACATACAAACTCCCTAACAGACACACATACAATTTATTTTTTTAAATTTTACTCCACCCAGCCTCCCTACCTTTGGTAGTGCTGGCATGGAGTCTCTATGTCCCTGTGGTCCAGTGGGGCTGCTGGGCTGAGCGTCTGGGCATGCGGTCCCTGTGGTCCAGTGGGGCTGCTGAGCAGCTGGCGTGCAGTCACTGAGGTCCGTGGGGATGTTGAGCGGCTGGCGTGTGGTCCCTGGGGTCCAGTGGGGCTGCTGAGCGGCTGGCGTGCAGTCCCTGGGGTCCAGTGGGGCGGCTGGCGTGCGGTCCTTGGGGTCCAGTGGGGCTGCTGGGCGACTGGCGTGCGGTCCCTGGGGTCCAGTGGGGCTGCTGAGCGGCTGGCGTGCGGTCCCTGGGGTCCAGTGGGGCTGCTGGGCGACTGGCGTGCGGCCCCTGGGGTCCAGTGGGGCTGCTGAGCGGCTGGCGTGCTGTCCCTGGGGTCCAGTGGGGCTGCTGAGTAGCTGGCGTGCGGGCAGCGAGGAAGCAGTGATTTTCCTGCTCAACTCCCTTGCGCGCTTATAGTGATGCCGGACATGGAGTGACGTCATTTTCATTACTGCTGTGCATGCGAGGGAGTTGAGCCGGGTGGAGAGTTCTCCCTCACCGCTGCCGGCCATTTTATTTCACAAAATTTTGGCGGAACCCCAACTGGGAAACGCTGACCTAGAGCCATAACCTCAAAAACTCGTTATCTTTATTTTCTGATTCATACTTGCTGGTTTATAGAATTACCTTTTTCAGCAGACGTTATTTAAACTGATTTTAATATTGTACGTTTTATTTTGGAATCTCACTTTTTAAATTTCCCCCCAGCCTTTTCTCCTATAAATATTGTGATCGGGAATCAAACAGGATTTAAGAAAGTTCTTGCATCAAACAAGACTTCTGCTTTGCTAAATCACACTTGAAAATGAAATTTATCTTCTCGCCATCTCTCGAGGGGGAGGAAAATGGAATGAAAAGGGAGCTGGGGATTATTTTTCTTTTGAATTTCCATATGTCTTTGTTGCTTTGGTTTTTTTGCGTGTAAAAATATGATGATAGCAATCTGACCGCGTATTTTCTCTTGAGTGGATACAGGTTAACTTTAATTAATTCTTGCATGGTGTTCTAAAAAAAAAACCAAGAGACTTGTGTGTACAAAATTTTCTGACTGTGAAAGGTCTAATTGTTAAAAAGCAGATTTATTTCTGTGTTTGAAGTGGTGTAGCATGTTTTTAATAACGTGTACTGCCCTTTGTGACCTCTCCTGTTTGCCTGTTTCTTTCAGATGCAAGGAGGAAAGTCTGCATCGCTTACCCTGCCAGTGGTTATGCAATGTCTTAGAGGAAATTAAATCTAGCGATCCATCTTCGAAGTTATGTGCAACCAGACGCAGTGCTGGCATTCCATTCTACATACAGGTACTTAATAGGCTCTCTGTGCTGTGTTGTTGTTGTTAGGAATGATACAAGTCTATTGTACAATACAGTGGTGCAGGTTCGAACAAGCTTCAATCATACAGACATTTGATTACAGCACGTGGCTTGCTGATACTTTTTGTCTGGTTTTTGTTGTGGTTTTTTTGCCCTCAATTATACACACAAACCAATAAAACAGTGAGGTAGATTTACTTTGTTATTGGAATCCATGTAAATTGATTTTACGCTGTTACCCAAAATGGTCTTTCCATAAATTGGTTTCAAATCCGTAATGCATATAAATGATTAGTTTAACGTAACCAAGTGTGGTTGTGTTGGTCATTTTGGTATTTCATCACAGTTTTAATACCTCAGTGATAAGTACTGGTAAAAACACAAGTTTATAAAGAGCTAAGGGATAGCAGCAGCCTGTGGGAGTCTGATTTGCAGAGTAACTCCTGGATTTCCATTGTGAAGGAAACAGTCCATTGAAATGTCGGATTACGTTGTCCAGTTGATTAGATTGAAAAATGATCAAAACAAGTTACAGACCGTTTTTAACCTCCTAAATGATGCATAGACCATTTCTGACTAACAAAGATTTCTAATCATCACTTTATAATACAACAAGAAAAATCTAAAGTAATAAAAAGAGTGGTAAAAAAGTGTAGTAGCAAGAAAAGGAAGGTGATGAACTAATGTTCTGGAAGTGACATTCATCATTACCATTACTGTACATCTATACAGTATAAGGAGCCACAGTGAATGAAGTGTGAAATTACAGGTAATACTTGAAAAATTTGAATATAGTGCAAAAGTTAATTTATTTCAGTAATGCAAAAGGGGAAACTAATATATGAGATAGACGCATTACATGCAAATCAAGAAAGTTCAAGCCGTCATTTGTCATAAGTGCGATGGTTATGGCTTACAGCTCATGAAAACCCCAAATCCACAATCTCAGTAAATTAGAATATTACATGCAATCAATAAAACAAGGAGTTTACATAGAACAATATCGGACCTCTGAAAAGTATAAGCATGCATAAGGACTCAGTACTTGGTTTGGGCCCATTTTGCAGCAATTACTGCCTCAATGCGGCGTGGCATGGAAGCTGCTGAGGTGTTATGGAATACCGGATGCTTCAATAGCGGCCTTCAGCTCTTCTGCATTGTTCGGTCTCATGTCTCTCATCTTTCTCTTGGCAATGCCCCATAGATTCTTTATGGGGTTCAGGTCAGACGAGTTTGCTGGCCAATCAAGCACTGTAATCCCACGGTCATTGAACCAGGCTTTGGTGCTTTTGGCAGTGTGGGCAGGTGCCAAGTCCTGCTGGAAAATGAAGTCAGCATCCCCATAAAGCTAGTCTGCGGAAGGAATCATGAAGTGCTCCAAAATCTCCTGGTAGACGGCTGCGTTGACCCTGGACTTATTGAAGCACAGTGGACCAACACCAGCAGATGACAGGGCTCCCCAAATCAACTTCCCACTGGACTTCAAGCATCTTCCAGTTTGTGCCTCTCTATTCTTCCTCCAGACTCTGGGTCCTTGGTTTCCAAATGAGATGCAAAAGTTGCTCTCATCAGAAAAGAGGACTTTGGACCACTGAGCAACAGACCAGGTCTGTTTTTCTTTACTCCAGGTAAGACGTTTCTGACGTTGTTTGTTGTTCAGGAGCGGCTTGACAAGAGGAATACGACCTCTAAAGCCCATGTCCAGGATCTGTCTGTGTGTGGTGGCTATTGATGCACTGACTCCAGCCTCAGTCCTCTCTTTGTGGAAGTCCCAAACACTTTTGAGAGGCCTTTTCCTGACAATCCTCTCCAGGCTGTGGTCATCCCTGCTGCTTGTGCACCTTTTTCTTCCACATAACTTTCTATTAATGTGCTTTGATACAGCACTTTGGGAACATCCAACTTCCTTTGCAATTACCTTTTGAGGCTTTCCTCCTTATGGAGGGTGTCAATGATGGTTTTCTGCAAAACTGTCAGGTCAGCAGTCTTCCCCATGATTGTGATTCCTACTGAACCAGACAGAGAGACCATTTAAAGGCTCAGAAACCCTTTGCAGGTGTTATGGCTTACTTAGCTGATTAGAGTGGGACACTGTGAACCTAGAATATTGCACCTTTTCACAATATTCTAATTTACTGAGATTGTGGATTTGGGGTTTTCATGA